TCCTGGTGAGGCAGTGATGGACCCGACAGGCACTTTCTAAAACTGGGACTCTCCTCAGAGATGAAAGTTCAAATTTCAAGTTCATGAAAACAGGTTTCCCTGCAAAGACTTGGAAATTGTAACCACTGAAGCTTTAATTCTAACTCAAGTAATGAAATGTTTTCAAACATATATTGCGTGCACAATTTACTACAATACAGACCCTTAAGTTAGCCAAGGCTATGACTTGCCAGTTGGGGAAGTCTACCCTCAAAAACAGCTATGTCTTCTCCATTTCTACTCTAAATGATTTTGGTGGTGCCTACTGATTCTAACATAAGAAAATATTTTAGACCATGAAAAACTAAACAATGCTTTCTACAAAAGCAAAAAAAAAAAAAAAAAAAAAAAAAAAAGGAATGGGTTTTCCCTTCCATCTTGGCACTCTCTACAAAGGTGAAAATCACTACAGAAGTTTCCAGTGCCAGTATTATTTATTTCTGTCTCCTTTTTATGACAACATCCAAAGAAATGTCCTCCACTGTCAAGGATATACTACCAAGAGATCTATTCGAAGATCACTGAACTGTCTCCATTAATCCCTTCACATTCCACTGATAAATCCCCATGCTTTGACCCATAGTCAAGAATACATCATTCTTAATACAAATCAAGTTGGGATTTATCCTTCAAGATGCAGCCAGCTAGCTTCCTTCAAGTCCTTCCTCCCATGGGTCAGCTACTGGATGACAATGAGAATCGGCCTACCTTCAAAATAAAAAAGTTCAGAAGAGTTTGGCAACCCACGCTCACTTTCTTCATAACATTCTCCAAGCAGATCTTGATAATATATTCCCTACACTGCTCATTTTTACCTCCAGCTCTCCTTGTGCTAACCCTTGAGCATTTCACATTTGACACAAAGTCAATTTCTTGTATTGTATCTCAGCACCAATCAAAAGATAAAACTAGCAAATATCTTTTTCTAAAGTTTATTCAAAACATTAAAGTTGTATTTTTCAAGTTCAGTTTGAACGTATTTAAGTCCTGGAAAATTTGGTAGTTTCCCTTTCTTCTCATAAGAAATTTTCAAGCATGCTAGGCCATTCAAAGACAGATATGATGATAATTTGCAAGCTGAACTCCCAGAGTCAAAAGCTGCTGACATTTTCCCACATCTGTGTATGGAATACATTATGAGAGATAACTATAGACACTATGGTACTTCACTCTTAAGCTTTTATCACTCAACTCACAAAAATAAGAACACTCTCCTACAGCAACCCAAGACTATCATCGCACCTAGATAGTAATGATTCCAAAGTAACATCAAATAGTTATTTCAATTTTTCCATTTGTTTCTGAAACATTTCACATCTGGGTTTTTTAACCCTAATTTTGGCCCAACAAGATGGCTCAGTGGGTAAAGGCACTTGCAACTGATACCTTGGGTTAGATCCTTGGGACTCACATGGTAGAAAGAGAGAACTAACACCTCCAAGTTGTCATCTGTCCTCCACACATGTTGTGGTATATGTATGTTCTCTTCATACCACCATGCACATTAAAATAAATTTAAAAATTTAAAGAAAAGTAGCTTAACCCCCATCTACTGTATGTTTTCTGTGCCTCTTTCTAGAAAAATCATTCTACTTTTGTTTTCATGGTATGGTTATAAAAAAGGCAGCATTGCCCTACATTATGGATCTATTTGTTTTGTGCCTATGTGATAATTTTAGCTTTTCTCTTTACCCTCAGTATTCCCTATACTCTTAAGTTTAGCTGTGAAGGTTTAACTAGGTTCAGGCTAGACATTTTTGGAAGAATCCACATGTCCCATGTAGTTGTGTTACCCTTAACTATGCTGAATTTGGTTATTGGTAAAGAGGCTTTAAGACATGTTGACCATACTTACTACCAGCCATTTCTACTGCACTATGTCCCAGGTTTAAGATCTTTAAAAATATGTTCGCCAAAGTCTGTCAGAAATCCCAGGCCATTTGCTTCTCTGGCCTCTTTAGCTTCTTCAACTATTTCTTAAAATCTTCTCCTCTCTGTTGGATCCCCTATTCCTTTGCTCTGTAAACTTGGCTTCATAATCCATTGCTCATTTTTTTTATCATTTAGATAGATCTGAAATTTTATGCTGGGAAACTTCCACGGGCTTAACTACACTTACAGTGCATGTTGAGTCTATGGCCCAACTACTAGAATGTGCCACAGAAATATTAACTATTTCTGACAAGCTCATCTGGTATATGACCTCTTATGACAACATACAGACCTAAGCACTTATTGACATCCATGCATGTTAAATCTCAATAGCTGCAGCTACTGAGCATGCCCAATGAGCAAGGCGAAAGTATGGTAGAGTTGGTTTTTCTCCCTGACCCCACTCATTTAAAAGCCACCTACACTGTCTGTGTCTATGTTTCCAACATCTTAGCAGGACACAACTATATACTATTGATTATTTTCAAATAATTATATGGCTAATCTGAACTGCCCTAGTTAATTAGGCAATCTTCACTTTCCAACAGCTTCTCACAAAGCAGAAGACAAATACATGTGAGGAATGTCTGATGAAATAGGTCTTATTTTGAAGCTATGTGTCGGTGACTACACATGCAAAATGAATTAAGAATTGAGATCACTGTCTGGACCATTCAGCCGAAAGTCAGAACAGGATCCAGATAAGGCAAGAGTATCCCACTGGGCTTGAATTATTTAGGTAACTCCATCAATCACTCAATTCACTTCAATTGAATTGTCCAGCTTAGGCTTATAAGTAATTTGTTTTCATCTTTGCTAGTTAGCATCATCTGTCTGATATAATAGGAGAATAACAAGTTTGTTATGTTTCATTTAAAAGCCTTTTTATCATCACTGTTCCAACTTGGAAACTGGGGAGAAAGGTCCTGGGCACACAGTTTTAAAAGGATCTGCTTTTTTCCTTTCTCCATGACCAACCTAAGCTGGAATGACTAAACAATGCAAATGGCACCAAATTCAACTTCTGTCTCCAAGCCTCATCTGGGGCAAAACTATGACGTGTATAAAATTCATCTTCAGCCACATTGCTTCTATCTATCTGTACCCTTTACTTCAGAGATTAATTTAAATGGATGATGTTCCTTCTCTCCAAGCATTTGCTAATGCTGGACTTCAGGGGAAAAATGAAATGTTATTTCAAGTGCCCTGTTGTCAGATGTTTTGTCACTGTGACAAGAGGCCTAAGAAAACAACCTGTGAAAGGACAGATGCATTTTGCCTCATGGCTGCAGAGGTGGCAAAATATGGTGGTTTGGTTCCATGCTTCTGGGCCTATGGTGAGAGGGTACCTTATGATCACCCACCTTGTGATCTACCTCTTCCAACCATGCTGAACCTTCCATAGTTCTAACAACTCCCAATATTCTAGTCAGATTTTAACCTATCCATGCATTAAACCATTGGTTATGCCCGAGCCCTCAAAAACACGTGTGGAATAGTGCTATATTAACTAATGTCATGTGTATCTTTCAATTGAACAATCAGGATTCTCTATCACATGCCCAGAAGTATGTACTGCCAGTATCCATGGGCAGATAAAAGTTACGTTTGGAAGTCTGAAGGCTTTCCTGTCTTTGAGAAGCTACATGACATAAGCATAAGCAACCAGGAATTCTGGCTACTTTCAAAAGTTTGACTCTCAGTACCTTCTAAGCTAATATTTTCATAGTTCTGTGACATTTTCAAAATGTGGTTTACATTAATTATCCTGTTTAATCTTAACATAACCCATAAGCACTAGATTCTTGCCTACAATTTGTAGATAAGGACGTTGGTTCTCTGCCACCGAGGGCTGGGCCCTGGCTCTGAACAAGGTCTGTTAATTCCCTGCAGTGCCTTTCCATTCTGCACACTGCAACTCCATTCAGATCCACAAACTAACTTTCAGTTCTTCTAGAAGGGTGGTGATAATCCCACAGTGACTTAGTATCTAAAGGAGGGGGGTTTGAAGGTTTCTTAAGCAGTAACAATTGGTTCTATAAAACCTAAAACATTTCTCCTTTTTTAGCTTCACACCTTCCCGCACACAATTTTTGGAACGAAGACCATATCTTCCTTACTCTATTTGTAGGGTATTTAACATAATAGAAGGCAGCCAGAGGATCACAGGACAAAGGACATCATTACTACATAGCCTGAAGCAGCAGAAATAAGCTGCTGGAAAAGAGAAACCAGAGGCCCATGATTTTGAGAGAGAGTGAGAAGGCACATTGGAGGGACTGCATGGAGGAAGGGGAAGAGGAAAAAAACAATATATTTTAATTAAAATGTACTTCAATTAAAAATTTAGGTTGCCTTCAATACACAGATTCAATGGAGGAATTTGAAAGGAAATAGTCTTTCATTTTATGATATAGGCTAAAATTACAATAACTCCAGTGCCAATATTCATTGTCATCTTAATTATAAATTAAAAGAAAACAAGAGATGATAGTAATTATTATTACATAAGAGATTCAAAATTCAACTCTATTTACTAACATCTAAATTATCAAAACACTACAAAAGTATTTTCAAACATCTTTGAATGTAGCTCCTCTAACACATTCATGGCTAGCATGCTTTGCACTTGCACACAAATCATTCCATACACACACGTGCACGCCCCCCCCACATACACATATAAACAAGTGACCATGAAATTCCAGCAACACTTCCAGAAATTCAATACTTAAAATTATTCTGTACATCATGAATCAGCAAGACTTTTTTCTATGAAGGGTCACAAAATAAATAGGTTTTATAGATCACATAATCTCATTAAATATCCTGCTGTCCCTGTGTAAGACCAGCATAGGTGAAAAGTTAATGAATAAGTAGGGCTATGTTTCCGTAAAACTTTTCTTTGTAAATCCACCATAGCTTACCAGTCTCTCCTAGAGAAATTTGTTTGTGCTAGATCTGGCTTTGTAACTGGACAATGTCCCACCTAGAAACATTATCAAGATTGCCTGAAACATACTGCTCACCTGTGACCCAATGGTTTCCTGGAAGCATCGTCCAAGCTGTGTCTTAGCGGCCACAGGATACACGTGTGGAATGACCTGCTGGTGGGAGTAGGTGGAATGTACTGTCTGGGTCTTCTGGACAGGAAGGCCTTGGTATGAGACTAGCGGCTGGCCTGGTTGAGCTTCTTTCACCTTCTGGCCCATTGGGCCGTCAATTCTGGAAACCTGGTGTATCTGGACGGAAGCCTCAGGAGGATGCTTCACATGGATATTGACTATGTTGGGGGGAAATTTAACTACAAAAATCAGGAAGATAATTTGTTAAACATGAGTAATTACTGGGAAACTCAAGATTTTTAAAACATGAAATGGATTTTATGCAAACACACCCACCAAGAGACTCCACATAGGATAAACATATACAGAGTATTTTTTTGTGTGTGTGACACAGACATCAAAATTCTTGAGAATTTTGTACTCAAGGTAACAAATTTATACATTTAAAAAAAGTCAAACTGTGGGCAGGAAGATGGTTTTGTTGGTAAAGGTGTCTGCCACTAAGTCTGATGACTTCAGTTTGCTCCCCAGGATACAAGATGGTGGAAGAAAAAAACAAGTTGCCATCTGACCTCCACACATGCACTGTGACGCACATACACACACACACACACACACACACACACACACACACACACATGAATATATAATAAAATTTTAAATAAAACTGCAATTATGCAGACATTACAGTATCTTAACAGTGATGTATTAAGAAACAAGAATATTGGGGCTGGAGAAATGGATCAGTGGTTAAGAACACAGGCTCTTCTTCCAAAGGACCTGGGTTCAATCCCCAGCACCCACGTGGCAGCCCACAACTGTCTATACTCCGGTTCTTTGGAGTACAGATATGCATGCAGATATACATGCAGGCCAAACACCAATGCATATAAAATAAAAATAAATAAATATTTTTTTAAAAAAGAAACAAGAATATTATTTTAACTAGGATCATAAGATTATGAATTCATGATTCTTTCAAACTAAGGTCTATATACCTTACCAAGTGATAATAGGTTCTCAGAAATTAGGCACTTTTGTGTATTTCAAACAATTTCTTCTATAGAAATTTCTATTATGTAAATTTTAGGACTTCAATTTTTCCATTAAAACTCCAATTTCACAAAGCATGCTTCTTTTGTCTGCTTTAGGTGTCTCTTATATATACACGTTTGAACTTTGAGGACACAGTAATGTGTGTTGATTTATATGTGTCACAAGACTGCCTTTCTGCCTCTTTCAAAGAAAATTTCAGATGAAATGTTCATCTTCTGACACAAACATTCAGGATTTAAAGAGTGAGAGTCAGTTATATTTCTCTGACCCCCTTTAAAGTCGTATGTTCTACGGATGCCAGCTTTGAAAGAATGAATTAGTCACAGAACTTGTGAGCTCCAAGTGACCTAGTTTGCCTTCCTCTACAGATGGACAGACTGAAGCCCAGTGAAGTTAAGTGATCTTGTAGGACTCAAATCAAGTATCTGTCAGCCCCAGAATTCATTATCGGGAATGGTGTGGCCCCATTAGTTTATTGCTGCTGTCACGGTTAGACCATGACCTTGTCTCTGGCCTTGCATATCCATCACTCTGTGGTGCTCAGTCCTCAGAGGAGCAGACACTTCTTATTTTCCAGATGCCAGTTCACTGTGGCCTAGAGTGCCCTGCAGCCACATAAGCCGCCCACACTCCCATCTCTACTGCCATTCCTCAGGTCACAGATTCACACACTCCCACCTGTGTTAACCCCAGTCCTTGTTACATGCAGAGACTTCTCTCTGGGTATGACCTGGAAACAGATAACTGGATTATGAGCAAAAAAGAGAATACAAACCTTACCTTTGACTCCTTGCTGACTCGTCATGGTCAGAGGCAAGGTGTGTGTGGAATGGATGACATGTGTCCCCAATGCCTTTCCTGGCTGCTGGGAGTACTGATAGAGTTTAGGCCCACTGGCACCAAGGACAGGAATTTGGCAAAGCTTTCCTGTGAAATTTGGAGGGCACTGACATTTGTCCCTTGAACTGCACTGGCCACCATTCATGCATGGAAGATGGCAAATTACTGAAAAGGAAAAGCGACAATGTGAAAATTTGGTTAGTTTCCTAAAGATTAAATAACAATCAACCAACACCCTCCTACTATATCCTAACGCATATCCTTTTTCAGACATCTCCTCCTACTGGGAGTCAATATGTGGCCAAAGAGTTTCTATGATCTGTTAGCTTCTCCTGACAATGGAAAGGCATTTAGCTTCCATGAGCTGGTGACTGTTTGCCCCCAACAACAAAAACAAGAGTTCACAGGGAAAGAATGAAGTAGGCTGACAAAATGGCAGAGTGAGTGACTTGCCTGCTGCCAAGTCTGATGACCTGGGGTTGATCCCCAGGGCCCACATGGTGGAAGGAGATAAGTGACTCATGCAGAATGTCCTCTGACCTCCATTCATGTTCCCCAGCACACAAACAGGCCCATATACACACATATATAGACACATAAAGTAAATAAAAAGAGTATAACAAAACTAATATGTGTGTATATGAATGCATATATGAATGTATGTACATGTGTATGAAGTAACCACCCAGGGTTACTGTGTATCTCAATACTATATTAAGCATCTCTTGCAATTTGAAATTGCTTTGCTTCTCGATTTACTGATTAGCTAACTGTATCATAGATTATAAACTCGGAGGAAAGAAAAGATATTTACTCCTTGATAACCTTCATGTCCTCAATACCTAAAAGATCTCCTGCATATAGTGGATATTTGCTCATAGAAAAGATAAAGGAAAAAATTAGAGTAATTAAATTCTTTTCTGTAGGAGACAGTGAACTATGTGCCACTCAGGACATAAAGCACAGATAGCTTGAAACACGATTTATAGGAATTTTCCATCCTGTTGGACAAAAACCAAACAAACCCTGAAACCTGCTGGTATCTGAGTTACCATTAATTTGAAGTTTGTTCACTTAAACTATCAAAAGATAAGATGATGACTGGAAGGAAGAATTTCCAGTTTTTAAATTGGAATAACCTCAGCCTTGCTCATTGCTAGTGAATGCATCCTGGCAGCCTTTAAGCCCCATCAGATTTCTTCCTGCTTAATAAAACAAACAAACAAATAAACAAACAAACAAAAATCCTCAACTCTATTTCTTCTTAGCTTTTGTGTTCTTTAAATGGTGTCCCTCATTACTGCACGTGCCTGAAATCATTCTTCACTTCACAATATGACTATAAGATACCTGGGGACAGGATACACCTTCCTTTCCTCTATAGAATCCATCTTCCTAAGGCCACTAATGGTCTCTGTGTCACTAACTGACAGGCAGAGATTCCAGTCTCCCTTGGTTACCATGGCACCTTGCTCATCTAATTGATTCCTTTTTCCTTCCTCCTTCCCTAGAAAATCTGCACACTCTTTGCAGAAGCTGTAGGGGACACCATAACCGCACCTGCCTGGGGCTGGCTACAGGTGTGCCTTACAAGAAGCCTTCCTTTGATTGCCCTTTAAACACTGCTGCATACCACAGGCTAGTCTTAAAACCTTCTTGAACAGTTCCACACACTTTGCTATGATTTTAACATGTCCCCAAACTTGTCAAAGCCTTCGTTGAACTTCAAACTGGCTATAACTGTGTATCTCCATGGAGACATCCCATAGATGCCCCAAACTCTTATCATCTTCAGTAGCGATCATCTCCCTTCTAACAACCCTAGCCCCAGCGTGGTCTCTAGGCAAATGGTTGTTCCTCCCTCACCTCACTCATTCCACACCCACTCTAGAACTTCTCTCTTCCAATTACTCAGAGGTCTGCTCCCTCTGTAACTTCATCTCTTTTGAGCTCACCCCATCTCTCACAGAGCAGCCCAATGAACTTTATTCAGAACTGACAAGGAGTCCTCTGCCTGGAACACCTTCCATTCATCTCCCTTCAGCAGACTGGCATTCTGTTTGTCCTTTAGACTCTGCCTGGCCCTTGCTTCTCTGAGAAGCATTCAGAGTTGCCTCCTAATCACTACCCTCCAGGTCACATCTCTGACTACATGGCAGCTGTCTGCCTGCTGTGTACACCTCCCTCCACTAGAGTTCTGTGAGGTCAGAGAATCAGTTCTGTTCAATTTTACCCTTTATACATAGCTCAGAACCTAGCAGAGATGAGCAAGGTCTGAAAACATAAAGAAAAATGATAAAAAATAAACACAAAGATGAAGAAATGAACAGTTCTGTGCCTGTCATTGTGTTAAATAACTTCCTTAGATTGTAAAGGCAGTTCAGTCCTTACCCTTCAAGAATGTTCCAGCTAGTCAGTGCCATTAAACAACGAAAGAAACAATGACTGCAGAACACCAATAAAATCCTTTGGAAAGTCAGAAGTAATTGAAAAAGCACTTCCCAAAAGACAGAACTGGGAGAAGTCTTTGAGAGGAAGCAAAACTGAGAGTGCAGACAGTACACTGTAGAGAAATCATCTCCATAGAGGAAGAAGTAGCTTGTCCGGGAGACAGAGTTAATGCATCTTGTTAAACCCCAGGCTTTTAAAGGAAGGGAAGGGATCCGGCTATAAGCTGGGACATGAAGGCTTACATCAGACCAAGAGGTTATTAAAGACGTGACATGGGGTTTGGGCTTTATTCTGTAATGGAAAAATTATCCTAAGGCTTGAAGGAGCGGATTAACAAGGTTGCCAGTGAGTTCCAGGAAGGCTGCTCTGCAGATGGCATTCAGGATTAGTTGAACAGAAAAGTGACAATGCTGGGAGGGCCAGTTTGGAAACTGTCATAATAACTGACAGGCAAGTTGAAAACAGGGCTCGGGGTGATGTCAGCAAACACTGAAAGGAATATGAAGTAATGAAATCTTCAAGGAGGATCAGTTGATGACACTGGAAGCTCAAAAGGGGGAGAAGCAAACAGGGAGCTGGAGAACATTACCTGGTCACAGCCCAGAAACTGTTCTAGGCTGTCAAACAACCCAGATGAGCTGGGTCTGGGGAACCCCAGAACTTCCCCTGCTATCCCATCTACTCTGAGAAGTAGCAAGTAAAAGAAGACGTGGTCAAAATTATCCCAGTAGTCAGTATCCTTGTAACTCCTAGTTCAATTCTAACTTCAACTTCAAAACCATTATTTGGCTCACTGGATGAGCTCAGTGTACACTAGGTAACAGTGAAGAGTACCATATTCAAATATACTAATATATTATATAAATGTCCTATGAATAATTCATCAGCAGAACAGAGACTCTCTTTACTTCCAGCTTGTAGGAATTTTATTGACCACAGTACCCTGAGCAAATGCATCAAATGTAAACTTCACTGCTAGCCCTGTCCACCAAGCTCTTCAGTAATGGCAGGTGTATTTCATGACCAGTGCCTAGTCCCATCACTCCTTTCAAGTTCTGCTGATGAGCAGGTGCTACAAGTCCCCTAGTTGGAGCACACACATCAAGGCAGGTAGTCCTAGCCCCCTAACCCCAAAGCAATAAAATCACAGAATGTTTAATGAAAGTGGATAATCAAAAGATGGTATGGACTTTAAAGAAGTAACAGTGACACTCCAAGAAGGATATTTGCACAGTGCACATGCCCAGTAGTTCACTCCTTGGAGTTTGCTTCCAAAATTCTGTCCAAAAGAAAAGGGATGTGACAGTTTATAGACCAGTTGTTCTCAACCTTCCTAATGCCATAACCCTTTAATACAGTTCCTCATGCTGTGCTGACCCCAACCATAAAATTATCTTTATCATACTTCATAACTGTAATTTTGCTACTGTTATGAATCATAATGTAAATATCTATGTTTTCTGGTGGTCTCAGGTGACCCCCATGAAAGGGTCATTTGACCCCAGTGTAGTCGTGACCCACAGGTTGAGAACTGCTGGTTTAGAGGAAAGAAAAGAAATTCTATGTCATAAATTACACAGGAGAAGAACACGAACATGCTCACACTGTTCTTGACTGGTTTCAATCAAAGAAATAAAAGATTTTAATCCTTCGTGCTTCTATAACTTTCAATTGTAGATTAACAAAAAATTAGCCTTACTATTCTGTTTCCATTGTTCTACATAATTATACTCTCCCCTTTGATATTTTAACAAAAATATTAAAAGCTATGCATCTTGAGTTTTCCCATCTATTAAGCTGCAAAGTAAAGGCAGGCATGGTGGCACACACCTTTAATCACAGCATTTAGGGGACTGAGGCAGGAAGATCTCTGAGTTCAATGCTAGCCTGATCTACATAGCAAGTTCTAGGCCATCCAAGGCTACATAGTGAGAACTTTCCTAAATAAATAAATGGGTAAATAATATTGCTAACATATGTAAATTGAGGACTACCTATAATCTATACTGGCATAAATTCATAGAAATAACCAACTTAAAAATTAACCAATTAGGGCTGGAGAGATGGCTCAGAGGTTAAGAGCACTGGCTGCTCTTCCAGAGGTCCTGAGTTCAATTCCCAGCAACCACACAGTGGCTCACAACCATCTGTAATGAGATCTGGTGCCCTCTTCTGGTGTGCAGATATACATGGAAGCAGAATGTTGTATACATAATAAATAAAATCTTTTAAAAAATTAACCAATTGACCTTTACAAGATAATTCCATTAATGCTAACAGACTCTAAAAGGCAACATGGGCACAGGTCCTCTAAGTCTGTCTACCTTTCACTCTAGAGATATGAGCCTGCAATTGTCCAGTGGAGAATACCTAAGAGACTACAGCAGTCATCCATGAGCCCCATTAACCCTGTTTCCCCAGTCATCAGCTTCTGCCTGGCCATTATAATCACTAAAAGGTCATTATGCATAACCACTCATGAATGAGGAACAAAATATCTATTCTCTTGTTCCACTACTTTCTAAAGTATTAAGAACAGCAAATAAAAGCCTTTGCCTCATCTCAACAACTTCAGATGGAGCTGTTTGCAGCAGGAAATCTTTACACCAAAATCATCTTTTATATATTAAAAAATTTTAAACCAATCTATAGACTGTAAGATTTAGCTGTGAATAGTTTCTTTCTGCTTCAAAGTTCATACCACTCTCTAAGCA